TACCATCAGTCACTAATAGGATTCATTCAAAATTACAGTTCCCAATACAACTAAACATTAAATCATGTTACTCGCCCTATTACAAGAATTCAATTAAGTTTTTTTTTCACTTCTTACTTGGTTCTTGGGGGCGTCTCAACAGGAGGCGACAGCACATCTGACACTGTTGCTCAGTTTGGGAAAACACCATATTACAAATTGTCTTCTTTACTATACATTTTCTTTTTTACAATGTTATGGTTTTCTGTAAATATACACTAATGACTTTGTGAAACTCCGTAGAGGGTGCATTATGATTTTCAGACCTACATGATGTATTATTACGTGATATAACGATAAAAGACATAAGCTTTAGTTCTTATTTACTTACCAAGAGCATCTTGTCACAATCCACACATAGGGCATAGCAGTGACTGAGGCATACAGACAGGTCACACTTGATGAAATGGAAGCGCGTCTTTCTGTGCTTCTTTGATGAGCAGGTCTTACAGTATGCGACTGGAGGGCGGCTCTCTGCTAAGACCGCCTTATGACTCCGATCTCGAACCGCGTTACAGAAACCCCTGATGAGTTTCCTCAGGGAGAATGATGGCCACGGAATGTCTAACATTTGCTGTGCTCAGGGTTTGATGAATGATTTTGCAACTTCCTGCATGTATTTTCTTCTAATCAGGGGTTTGCCGCCAGATGCTTCTCTGTTATCACTGCAGTATTTATCATTCCATAAAACATACATATGGACATGGCCCACATGAATAAATGGTATACATTTGATCATAGACATCTACTTCTTTGTTGAATTGTCAACTATTTATTGCTTTCCTGAGTTTCCTAGTATTGGCTCTGAGTGCATCAGAGGCAGCAATAGCACTGACTTCTTCTTTTAAGCGGAAGGAACATTAGACACTAGAGTGTCTTGGTGAAGAAGAATACATTTGAAACCATCTCACGTGTGTTTCATCCCACAGTTGTTATGCAGGTCAGTCACAAGGAGCACCGAAGTGAACTATTTATCAGTTGTAACGTTTCGGTTCGCATGTTGATAGAGACTTGTGAAAAGTTTAGTGTATTAGTGGCCCAGTATAATGTTACCAACAGGCATCGACTTCCTTCCCTTTTCAGGAAACACCTGCTTTTCATTTCCCTTTACTTTGCCTTTACCTTTTCCTTTCTTTGCCCTTTAGTATTATACAATTATCTCTTTAAAAAGTTTTTATATAATATTAGTTGCAACTAGTAAATAAGGCATAACATCAAATAACGTCACTTGAATCAGTGACTGAAGGTAACACAAAACCTAATAAACATCTCACAAACACATTAATGCACGTACGCAGAAAAAAAAAAATCACGTAACGTATAAAGTAACGCATATATATATATATATATATATATATATATATATATATATATATATAGATAGAGAGATAGAGAGAGATAGATAGATAGATATACATACATATATATATATATATATATTTTTTTTTTTTTTTTTTTTTTTTTTTTTTTTTACTGTAATCGCATATGGTAGTATGTCAGTCCCATAATGCTTATATCTCAACAGTATAAGGTGAGTGAACTATAATAAACATGCAGTTATAGCAAAGAGCCCGATAGCGACCGCTTGCGCAGTACCTCCTTCTTCAACACTCACATAAAAACTGAACATAGCAATCGCGGCAAGGCGCCAAAATTAAATTCATATAAGCTACAACGTAGCTCGTATGCCATACTGTATCTTCATGCGGGTACCTTACACCCCCCCCCCCCCACACACACACACATAAACACGCACATATATATATGTATATATATATATATATATATATATATATATATATATATATATATATATATATATATATTATATGTCTGTATATATATGTATATATATTCAAATATATATATATATATATATATATATATATATATATATATATATATATATATTCATATATATATATATATATATATATATATATATATATATATATATATATATATATATATGTATATATATATATATGTATTTATGTACATATATACAAATATACATATATATGTGTGTGTGTATCTATGTGTGTGTGTGCGCTCGCGTGCGCTTTTATATATATATCAACATATTACATAAGCAAAAAAGTAATAAAGATGTTATCTCAGAAATGAAACAAGTACCCGTCAGAGAAAGCCTAACGACGTCGGTGAATTCAATTTCTTTTTATGAGATTCTTCCATACGTGGGAAGCAAGAGGGCACTACGTGACTGAAAGAAGGTGCACGGATTCACAATGCCTATTCTACAATCCAGAGAATATCAGATGAATTTGGATGAGATCTGATGTTAGGTACTCCTAAAATGGAAGAAGAAAATAGAAATGTATTTATATAAATAGATAGATAAATAGGTAAGCAGATAGATATATGGAAATATATCTACATGTAATGTTTATACAGTTGATGGTACAGCATGTGCAAAATAGGAATCGTTTTAGGGGTGATA